CTATGATTTTTTTCTCTTTAAACCAGGTACTTTCAGACACTTCCAGGATCAAATTCATTCAAAGCTCTGAGGAAAAAGCCTCAACATGTTTCTACCAGCAGAGTTTCTCTCTCAGAAATGCAGTCGGCCCGAGTCTCCAGGAGGCCCAGTTTGATTGTGGGGCGTCTATTTCTGCCAGTAACACTGATTACTGACCACTCACACACCCACAGGAAACCCATTTCATTTTCTAATCTGTTCACATGAATTCACTTTGACTATTTGTAGTCAAATTGTGGAAGCAGACAACAGATTTACTGACTTTTTGGTTCCAAATGACTGATTTACAACATTTTAATTCCACAATAAGAACATGATTGGTCTAAAATGTCTCAAACTATTTTCCTTTAGATTTCAAACAGTAGTGTCTGATAGCGTCTGCTATGAGGCCAAGAGGTCAAAGGTCAAAGAAGGATCTTAGTACAGAGAGGCAGATATAATATTTCAGTTCTGAGGAAATGTGTTTTTGTGCAACATTTTTAACGAATCATCATGTAAAATTGAGATACAGAAGTGGAATGCATAAGAAAATATCTAAATTCAAATAAAACTATTTTCACACATATTCATGTCAGCTGGGGATGACCTCATACCTAATTAAGTTTTGTTGGTTGGTTGGTGTGAATCAAACCTGAGCTACTGGGTCCAGTAAGGGGGAGAAGCAATGTGGAACATTCTTGTTATTTGTAGTAGAAGGAAATGAGGTAAAAGTCAGCTTAACATTAACAATTTACATAAAAAACTCGTACGTTTTTGTCCTCCACATCGGCAACTACCGTAAATTCTGGACTATAGAGCGCACCTGATTACAAGCCTCATGCTATATTTTTAGAAAGAAAAACAATTTTGTACTTTTATAAGCTGCACGGATTTTAAGCCGCAGGTTTCCCACTTGTATGAGATATTTACAAATAAAGATATTACACGTGAGCATTTTTTTAACGTTTGATTTAATCCGTATGATACAAATACATATTATGTGTCTTGGCCTCACTAAGAGTTAGCTATCCAAGCAGCTAAACATGTACTCAGCAACTCCACAGAAGCAGATTCTTTTTTGTGAATTTACTGAATACTTTATCTTGTGAAACTGAAATACAAACATACAAAACATACGTCAAGAATTGTACATGTATAGACATGAATTAAGATTGGCTAGGCTCCGTCACGTATTTGTTTACATTGTTAACATCAACATATAAATTACCGTAAAAGTTACTAGAAATATGTCCAGTTGCAAAAACAAATACTTACAGACATTGCTTGAACAAACATGGAAACAAACTGTCACAAATTAGGAGTAGAAGACCAAGTCAGCCGTCTTCTCTACCGGCAAACTGACGCTGACTGCCGTTGCTAGGATACCGTAACCTTCCTGTCTAGAGGGTTGTCAAAATAAAGGTCTCACAAAACCGTTTTTATAATAAGAGCAACATAACATCGTATGCTTTTCTTCGAGTATCCATGTTGAGGGAGAGTATAAATGACTGATTTATAAGACTGTAAATAACTGTGAAAGTGAGAATTATGTATCGCACAATTTCATCGGACCTCTGTTAATACTCATCAATTTTATTGGTATGTTTTTCGCGCTATGAAAAAAAACATGTATTAGCCGCACTGTATTATAGGCCGCAGTGTTCAAACGACGGGAAAAAAGTAGCGGCTTGTAGTCCGGAATTTACGGTACATAATGATGACACTAAACTCTACTTAATGATATCAAAATAGGAATGAAGTGTGGAGTGACTCTGTCATATTTTGGAGATTAAGCCGCTTTGTAGAAGACAGATGTAAAAGTCCATCTACAGATGTTAGACAGATGTAAAAGTCCATCTAAATTACAGTTGTTCTTCACATCAGCACAACTTTGCTGCATGTCGTCAGTATTTTCCTAATCTTGGAGAAAAACTGTTCACTGTTCAACTGTTCATTGTTCAACTGTCTATATTTGCTTTAGAAGGCTTTCAAGGAACATTTAATTTATTGGGTGAAACAGGTCCAACTGCTTCCTGCCCGTTTCTTCTGACCAGCAGGGGGCCACCAAGAGCCACTAGAACACCATTACATCATTATTCTTATCTTTTTATTGCACATTTGAGTGATAATTCATGTCATCAAAGGATACAACCCTTCAAATACACAATTTCATACAAGTCTAATCAAATATGAACTGAATCTCTTTCTTCAAGTCAGTAGATCTGTTGTCTGCTTCCGTCTTCTTCCACAATTTGTACATTTCTTCCTTCAGAGTGTGAAACTCTGCTCTTTCCTATAAACTTTGGATTCTTTGATCCTGAAGTAAGTTCACCTGGCGTGAAGTCAAAAAGATCAGAGGCACGATAAAAAGTCATTTTATTGACGGCAAAAATAAAATCAGGATCTTGGTAGACAAAGAAAACATTTGAGTGTTGAATCTTGAAGTTTTTAACAAATTTTGAATCAGATATTCACAAGAAATTAAAAAATAAAATGGGTTTGAAAATAAAATATGAAATAAGAAATATAAAATATAAAATGTGTCTTGAGGTTCATCAAATGTGACTCATATGCTGTTATGGGGTTGATATTGATTATTTGTTCTCCAGTAAAGACTCTCTAACGAGAGCAAACCTGTGATCAGAGCTGTGACTGTTAAGGGTTAAACTTAAAAAAATCTAATTTTTTTTTTCTTGGATCAGGCTTTAAAGGGTGAACATGTTAACGATCATGATGTTGACTTTCGCACATCTCCATTAAAATATATTTTATACAAAGATTAAATCAGAAGAGGAACCTGGTTCTGTGCCTGTTGTTAGAGTTAAGAAAAGTTCAGTTTGTTAGATCACCAGGAAGACACGACTCTCATACCACGAAAATAATTCATATTCACCAGGAATTTAACTGTGCTGTTTTTAT